TGCATTTCGGTCATGATCTGCTTTGAATGTATATGTCACTCAAATATGAACGGAACGGGGACGTGTCATTGACAATGACTTGTTCTTTAATTGAAATGTGCATTGCTAGCAGCGGAGCTATCTCAGCCGATAGGCTGCTTGTTTTATTATTTACTCAGTCTCCTGTTACATGTGGTGGAATACTGATGTGTATTTATACTTTTAGGCATGTTATATTTGTCAAGAGATGTTTGAACAATGCTGGGATGAAGACGAGGAACAGTGGCAGCTGAAAGATGCGGTCAGAGTAGATGGCAAGGTAATGTGATGAACCATTTTATTACATAACTAACCCTGTGTTTAATTCACACGGAATATGAAGTAGCAAAAAATACAATATTGATAGGTAACAGAACTAGAAAAAATGTATCAAATATTGAGTTAGAGGAAAAGAAAGTCCTGGAAAAGTCACACCCCCCTCAATTGCATAGAATAGAATAGATTTATCAAATCCTTGAAATTTACAGTATGGCAGCTCATAATTCTGTGTATTGTTATATTAAATGATGCCAAAAACTTATTGTTTTTAAATTACAGACTTATCATCCACTGTGTTATGAAGATACAAAAGATGTAAGTAGCCATTAATAAGGTCGGTGAAATTTAGCTCAATCTATTGTTTATGTGACATATGATCAACAACTTGTGTTTCAATATTATTGGCGACCCGCTCCGCTAGGATTGCCCTTATAATCACTTTTGTCGTTTTGTGTGTGTGTCTGTGTGTGTACATTTCCAGTGTTTTCACGTATGAATTCTTCTGTGATTTTTTTGGCTTGGCCGATTTCGTTCAAACTTGGCAGGTAGATCACACCTTCACCCTAGTGATTAGGAAAAATCTGAAAAACATTTTTGGCCCACCGTTGCCATAGCAACAGCCAAAAAACTGATTTTTGGATAGCTTCGCGCCAAATGTATCTCCTCCTACAAATTTGGGTTAAAACACTTCAGACATAGCTCATTCTACTCAGCTTGAGTGTGGGCACAAAGTTACTATTTGAATTTTTGATATGTTTTCATTACCGAGAAATTTGACCCCGAAGTTGGAGTAACTTTTCACCAGCAACGGCTTGTAACTCCTCTGTGATTTTTTCGGCTCGGCTGGTTTTGTTCATACTTCACACTCAGGTAGGTCGTGCCGTCACTAATTGGAAAACAATCCTGGCCCACCACTGCCATTCCAACATCCAAAAACTGATTTTTGAATACTTTCGCCCCAAATGTATTACCTACTACTAGTTTTGTACACAGTCAGCTGGCATCGGTGTCGATGGGTGCATATGATAAAGGGAAGTTGTGCAACCAAATTTGCCGAGTTCGCAGTTTTTCGCCAATAAAAAAATAACTAAGGCAACAACTCACGGTTTTTCAGCATTTTTGTAATAAAGACATTATTCGCTATCAATAATCCGCCCAAAACAGGAACATTTCCACTAATTCTTGTGTTTTTTTGACGTTTTTCGAAAAACCTGCGATTAGGCTGCGAAAGTAGAACATTTCGGAGGGGGCGAAACGGAAGAGCCAAATTTAACGCTTAAAAATAGAACGCGTATTTTGACCTCTATGCGGTCGTTGCCAAAGAGCCCTGCGTTCATCGCCTGGCGATGCTCTTCTGTTTCACCAGTTGCGTTTTTTTGACTAAAATTTGGGCAGTACTGTCAGTCACGAAAATTGATGAATAAATTAATACACATAAAATATGAATCATGGGCTAATTCAATGGTCACCGAACACTCCACTACTAAACAATCTGTGGCAAGATAGTAGCGTACTGTATATTTGACCCAGATTTGACAAGCATGGTACAGTTTTTTGAGCGTGTCCGTAATATTTGCTGGCATTCTTGACCTTTGACTGCAGTTCTTTTTTATATTTTAGAGTAAATGCTTTTGATATGCTCTTAGGTTGCTTA